CAATTGGAAAAGTCAATTTAATATTGACATTTTGACAAGTTGTCAGGCTCACAACACTCAATGTGTAGCAATTAGCAAAGTCATCTGTTTTTCTGTCTAATTGCTGTAACTTATTTGGGTTTGATGTAACATCCAGATTCACCAGCTGAAACACTACTTATGATTATTACGTTCAACATTTTTCTGAATCTGACTTCAGGGGGAAGTGGGACAATCTAAACTGACTCCATTTGCGAAACTAGAGTTAGCCTTGAAGGACTTTGAGAAGAAGTTTAAGGACAAGACAAAGAACAACTGGAGTGACCGGATGAACTTTGACTCTCATCCTGGGAAGTACACACTGATTGAGGTGGACGGAGAGCAGGATGCTGAGGTCAAGGTATTGCAACAGTTTATTTCTGAACAACAGGAAGCTTTGAGTAACTCACTGTTGATATTCTTAGATATATATTTTAGTCATACTTTTTGCTTCACAGGTGGACACTGTTGATGGAAAAGTCTCAAAAAATGTCCTTCCATGCACTCTTGATGGCCCAACACAGAATCTTATTAAGCTCATTTTCAGCAACGACATGTTCAAGGAGGCAATGGAATGCATGAATTTAGGTGGGTGTGTCTCACTTAACTAAACATTTTAAACTAACTGTTTTCTACAACTTTGGGTAGATTAAAACACTGCTAAAGTACTATTGTGCTAGATGCTTGATTCAGCTTGGGGTGAAAGTTTTGTTTCAAAGTGTAATTAAAATCTTTTTGCAACATGAAAATGATTAACCATTGTTAGAAACAAAGGTTGACCATGGCTTCCTCTTATGTTTGCATGTTAAAATGTAGGTCTGATCTTTGTTTTTTACTCTTTTCAGAATAGTTTAATTTTTTTATGGGCATGTGTAAAACAGTATAAAAGTGTGGCTCCTTCGAATCATTCCTCCTTAACATGGTTGGTGTTTCCAGGGCCTTGGTGACAGCTCATGGTGTAAGAATGAAGTACTTTTCCCATCATTCCAGATGGAAGTTGAGAATTCCCAAACTTTTTTTAATCAAGTATGGAAGATAAAATTATGGTTGTTTACAATTGTGATGGCAACATACTTGGTTCCTGGGTGCTTCCTGATGCAACTCAGCACTAATGAAAGCCTCTTCCTTATCGTCTTCAGAAAATTTTAAAGAAGAACTTGCCAAATGCCAGTCTGACCTTATGCACACATTCACTGATTTGTCCTCTCTTCTCTTGCTGCAATTAAAGATCACTTCAGAAAGTTGACCTGAATTCAAAGTGTAACTAAATACGAGCTGTAAAAACAATCTGTAAAACTAGATGGTGTTCCTTTGATGGACAGACATCACTTAACTACAGAAACCTAAGGAGTTCTTTGGTGGGAAAAATAAAATCCAGATTTTCCAAAAGTTAACAGAGCCAATTCAATTAATTAATGAAAGCACTTTATTCTTGTGCCCTAGTCAGTAATGTCTGATTGTTGTTTTTTTTATTATTTATTTATTTTATGAGCATTAGCTCTACACTCAACATCTTAGTGCACGGTGATTTTTGTTTTTTCTTTCACACTGAAATAAGTTTGTAACAAGCCAGCATTGTTCAAACAGTCTTTGAGATTTTACATCCTGTGAAATGGTCTCCAGAATACAGGGTGTTTTAGAAAGATAAATTACAATATTTACCACAACAAATTTGCTAATAAAGATATTAAAACCCCTGATTTGACCAGTGGGGTGTGTATGTGATTTTTATTTTTACAGACATCAAGAAGATGCCTTTGGGTAAACTCAGCAAGACTCAAATAGCAAAAGGCTTTGAAGTTTTGGAGGAGATTGAAGCTGCTATGAACCAAAAAGGTGGAAGAGGACGCCTTGAAGAACTCTCATCAAAATTCTTCACCACAATTCCTCACAACTTTGGCAGAAACCGACCGCCAGCCATTGACACCAAAGAGATTGTCGAACAGAAGAAAGAGATGCTTATGGCAATATTTTCATTTAGTGTGATTTATTGTCATTTTATGAAGTTCTGTCAGCTCTAATGTCTGTTTCAATGTTGTTGTTAAGGTTCTGGCAGACATTGAGCTGGCCCAGACTCTGAAGTCAGAAACAGAGAAGGCTCAGGATGAGATGGTGGAGACGGTTCCTCATCCTATCGACCAAGATTACGGGTCTCTGAAATGCAAGCTCTCCTTGCTGGCTAAAAATACAGAAATGTATAAGGTATTGTGTCCTAAATTATAATTGACTGCTAAAATAATTGTCATGTTCCAATTACTAAAGTATTTCATGCTTTTTGCTTGAAGATCATCGAGAAATACACAAAGTCAACTGCATGTAGCTATAGAAAGCCAAAGATACTCAATGTTTGGGAAGTGGACCGAGAGAAAGAGGTGTGACTCTTCTGCCAGTTTTGCACTTATAGTGAAGAAGTTCAGAAGTCTTTCATCCAACACATAGTAACTTTCAGGGAGAACGCTTCAGTGAGAATGACAGTCTAGAGAACCGCCGCCTGCTGTGGCACGGGACAAGCATCGCGGTGGTGGCAGCTATCCTGAAGAGTGGTCTCAGGATCATGCCCCATTCAGGGGGCCGTGTTGGCAGCGGGATCTATTTTGCCTCTGAAAACGCAAAATCTATCGGTTATGGTAAGAAATCTCGTAAGAAAACAATTTCTTTGGGTTCTTTTGAAATCATAGTGTTATATTTAATTGAAATGTGTTTCACTCATTCCTAGTGCGTCCAGCAAAGAAGACTGGAGTGATGTTTCTGAGTGAGGTAGCTCTTGGCAAGGAGTTCACCATTACCCAAGATAACTGTAGCTTGAAGAAGGCTCCTGCCGGTTATCACAGTGTGGTAGCACGAGGCACTGTGGAACCAGGTAAAATGCTTTGGTACAGCAGCATACTACAAATTTACAAATGACCTTGCTCTTAAGGCCTCTTGGTGTTTAAATTATGCTTTTAATCTTCAGCATACAAAAGATCTTCTTGTTCATATTCCAATATTCACAAAACAACATGGTAGCAGAATTGATGGCTTCTTTAAGTTTTTTAATTTTTTTGAAAATGGAAAAAAAGAGATATTTGTCTTCTTATTGGATTTGCTCTTATTGGATGATTTAAATAATGAATGAAGAGATTTTGTATAGTTATCTGAATTTTTATGTTATAAATGCTCACAGACCACTGAAGTGGTCACTAATGCATCATAAAATACACTATCAACTACTGACCATAAGTTGCAACTCGTTAGTGCCGGGTGATTTTTGTTTTTCTTTCACACTGAAATAAGTCATCAGAGCAAAGCTAATCCTACCATGTTGCATAAGCGCCTCCCACAAGAAATTATTTTTGTTAAATCCAATATGGCCGACAGAGAAAAACGCATGCCAACCGATGCAGTCCCTCCTTCTACTGTAGACGATTATTGCAGGTAAAAAAATATTGTGACATCAGATAACACCGAAAGAACAATACTACGGATGTATTTTTTAAATGACAACCTTATATTTGGAGAAAATTAGAATTGATCACCTAAAAAAATCTAATGAAATTTTTTTTCTACCTTTTTTCTATGCCTCAAGAAAGTAAAAATAAAAAAAATCCTGACAAAGGATCATAATTCATGCATGAAAGAGTTAAAAATAATAGGCAAATTGAAAAACCTTCCTGACTGCAAAAGTATCCATTGAAGAAATATTTTAGATTTAAGGGACTCCTCTGCATTTATCATCAGGCATTGAAACCTCTGCATTTATCATCAGGCATTGAAACAACCTATTTATCATCTAAAGGGTCAGAAACACATCAGCATCAAGGCAGTCAGGAATGCACTGTGTGATAATACATTTTTTGCTTTTTCTAAGTAATAAAAAAGCAGTGGAAGATCTGAGTTTTCTTTCTGGACTCCGGTGCTTCAGAGGGCTGATGTGGTTCTGTCGGTTTTGTTTGCAGACCCGTCTCAGGACACCGTCATCACTCTTGAGGGCAAGCAGGTTACTGTTCCTCAGGGAAAAGCCATCGAACAGCCCCAATACTCCAAGAGCCACTTTAGCAACAGTGAATACCTGATCTACAACGAGAGCCAGTGTCGCCTTCGCTACCTGCTTGAGATGGAAATACATTAACAGTTTCAGTTTAAAAAAGAAACAAGGCATCAGAGCGTAGCTCATCCTACCATGTTGCATAAGCGCCTCTTTCTGTTTGTGCCTTATAATTACATGAATGACCCACAGAATCTACTTTGGCTTTGCACATTATTAGTAAATGATGATAATCTTAATGATAGTAATGATATATTATTCTACACTGCAGGAAAGATGTTTGTTTTAATGGATTGGTAATTTTGAGTTGAATATGCTGACATATTGAAAGGGTTTATTTGCTCTCTAGTTTTAAAAGATATATTCCAACTTAGGCTAAGATACATGCTTAGCCTTTGGAAAATTATTATTTTGCTGTGAAAGCAGATTACATGTAGGTATATGTCTTGCTGTTAGTCATAGGGTTAACTGGCAGAGAGGATAAAAAAATATGAAGTTTTTGTTTGGAACACTCTCTTTGATATTGCAAAAGGGGTTGGCAAAATAGTCTCTAAAAATATACATTTTAGTTATTTTAAAGTCATTTCCAGTATGGATTCTCACCTCCATATTTTAAATAACAAAGGTATAGCAGGATCAGGATCAAAGGAAATGTATATTTGTGTTAACAGAAGTGGGAAGCTTATCCTGTGGTTTATAATGATGAACTGTTTCTTAAACCAGTGAAGACTATTGAGGTAATCAAAAGTGATATCATATGCAAATTGCTAATGTAGTTGTGGTTTTAGACTGTCAACAGGCTGCAAACTGCTGACCAACAAACTGTTAATTTTGCTCTAACAAACTCCATGAAGAGTTCAATAAACTAAAATGTAAAACATTTAAGCAAACCATGTCATAATTGCATTTTTTTTACATTACTGCTCATCATATCTTTGTTTTCTCAAGGAAACTTCCACTTTGAGTCTTTTGCAAACTCTTAACAGCTGATCTTTCCAAGTTGCTTATCTTAGAGTTTTGACCACATGTTTTCTGCATCCCCTGCATAGTGTGGGGTGAAATGAAAACAAGAGTTTATGCAGCTTTTGCTGAGATACTCCTATACAAAGATCTGATTTGGCTAATCATGAGTCTCTGTAGAGCTTCCATAATTGCCAGTGACCTCCTAGGTCAGTTTATTTGGACCTTCATGTCTTTGTGAGCTCAGTAGAACATTTTCACTTCATTGACTGAACAAGTAATATGAAATATAATGGCGTCTGCTGTGTTCTTTGGTCTTCATGATGATGTTTGATATCTAGTGTTCTTGAGCAAACCTCACAGAACATCAAGCTTTATATTGACATTAAATTACACACACGTCTAAAAATGGATTTCATTAAGGGATATTAAAGTACACCACATGACTTTGTATTTGTAAAAAGTTTTAAAATGATCCTTATTTTTTCTTTCACTTCACAGTAACGCACTACTGTGTGTTGTAACCTTGACAAAATACTTGACACAATGTGAAAAAGTAAAATAGGTGTTGACGCTTTTATGAGCTGGGGTAAATCTCTCATGTTTTGATAACAAAACTGACTTTTGAAATCATATAGAGTGGATCTGCAGTGTTTTTGAGAAAATGGAGGCGTTAGGACCCAGGCATGGCTGGCAGGCAGACAGTGGCGTGTGTGTCTGATGGCAAAAGAGGAAAAAACTTCAGCATGCACCATTACACAAAACAATGTGTGACAGTCACTGCCATACACAGCACAGGACAGGACAGGACAGAAGAGGGGTGAGGAAAGAGGAGAGTAATTTCCCACCTAAACCGTCATGGAATCGTATTTTTTATATTTTTCTTTGTGTTATAAATTGTAAAGCAGTTCTAGTGCCTGTCTATGGAAAAAACAAACTTTAGAAAGTTTCACATTTTTTAAACTGAGATGGATATATAATTTATATACTTTTGATTAAAAAAGATAAAGCATCAATTTTATTTACTTTTGCAAAAAAGAAAAAGAAACATACAGCCTTGAACTCAAAGCAACTGGTTTAAACAACAAACTGAGTGAACCAGGGGTAAGTCAGTTTTATCAAAATATTGATTGTCTTACTACTCTTCTAAAGCATAATATTAAAGCATCATAATACCCATCTGCTGAATATCGTTGATGATTTTATTTCACTGCAAGTTAACCTAAAGTGTTTGAAGCTGCATAGAGAAATAAGGGTGGCACTGAAACGATAACACAAAGCTCAGTTAAACGAGCAGGGCTTTGTAAAAGTATTTTTCACAATATTACAGAAATGACACTTTTTAATGCATTCCAGTAACAAAATAAAAAAATAAAAATATGTTCATACAACTAAATATTACTTGTGTATTTGTTGTGTGGACCTATGACTCCGTTTGGATGTGGGCTTGAAACAAAGCAGAAAACAAAGTTAATGTTTTGTTTGACAAATTGTTGTGTTGTGGTGAGGTTTGCTCTTTCTGTCACATGGGATTCAAATATTGAATTACATATCTTTACTGTATCATGCTGAAATCGGACATTTTGGATTGTAGTGTTTATGTTTCAATTGAGATTTAAATGAGCTAAATAAGTGATATAGTCCAAAGGAACAGATGAATAATATGTTTTTACTTCCACTCAAAAATGATAAGCTTTGTTAGGTTATTAATAAATAATCGCATCAAACTTGTTTATGTAATTTGACTTATGTTTGAAGCATATTGATAAACTAAACTGAATTGCACACGTTTGAATTATAAAGGCCATTGATTGCATACGATTTGATTTTTGGTGTTAGAGAAAAGGAGGTTGAATACAAATAGACTACATGATTAAATGTGAAAAATACTGAAAAGCATGTCTGCTAGTTTGATCACAAAGCAATTCATTTATCAAAATGTTGATAATCCGTCAACCTTTTCAGTAGTTTTTGTTTCAGTGATTACAGTCAAATTCAGTGGATTAGAATATTAGCAAAAATTTATTTTAGCAACTCAATTCACAAAGTAAAACACAAACAGATTAAATACACGGGTTGATGTGTTCAAACTTTATTTCTGTAAATTATTATGGTTTTCTGCAGATACCTAATGGAAACATGAATTTATGGATAAGTATGTCAGACCATTAAAAAGTCATTGTAATACAAAAATGTCAGCCTAATAAAAAGAATGCTTAATACCCCCTTAGTGCTTTTTTAAAAGAACTTTTAATTTGCAAACCCAGTCTCATCAACACATATTCAAACTTATTGAATGTGTCTGTTTATGAAATGGTTGAAAACAATTTGTTTTGTTTTAATAATAACATATTAAGTAAAACCTGTTTCCTTCTGTCAGTACAGATATTTCACCCATGAGAATATCAGAGCTGAAAATGGAGGAGGAAGTCAATAAATGATGGCGGACATGACGGGGTCCATGGTCACCTCTGTTACCGAGCCTTCTGTCGCAAACTCCACCGATCCCACTGTCCCCGCCGGTGTTGGCGTCGTCACAAGCTCCCAGTCACAGATCAAAGATCTTTTCGGGTTGTTCTGCATGGTGACGCTTAACCTCATCGCCCTGCTGGCCAACACTGGTGTGATGGTGGCCATAGCTCGCGCTCCTCACCTGAAAAAGTTTGCATTTGTGTGTCACCTGTGTGCAGTAGATCTTCTGTGCGCCATCCTCCTGATGCCTTTGGGAATCATTTCCAGCTCTCCGTTCTTTGGCACGGTGGTGTTCACTGTTCTGGAGTGCCAGGTTTACATCTTCCTCAATGTTTTCCTCATTTGTCTTTCCATCCTCACCGTCACTGCCATCAGCCTGGAGCGTTACTTCTACATTGTGCACCCGATGCGTTACGAAGTAAAGATGACCATTAATCTTGCTATTGGTGTGATGGTGCTAATCTGGGTTAAATCACTCGTCTTAGCTCTGGTCACACTGTTGGGATGGCCGGCTTACGGACCTCAGAGCTCCATTGCAGCAGCTCACTGCTCTCTTCATGCCAGCCACAGCCGCCTGAGAAGAGTATTTGGAGTGCTCTTCAGTGTGATTTGTTTCTTAGCTCCTGCAGTAGTCATCTTTAGTGTTTACTGTGCTGTGTATAAAGTTGCTCGCTCAGCAGCTCTGCAGCAGGTCCCAGCTGCGCCAACATGGGTGAATGCATGCCCTGCAAAGGACCGCTCTGACTCCATCAACAGCCAAACAACCATGATCGCCACCACCCGCAGTCTGCCTCAAAGACTGTCTCCAGAAAGAGCCTTCAGTGGAGGAAAAGCTGCAATAACTTTGGTGTTCATTGTGGGCCAGTTCTTGGTTTGCTGGTTGCCCTACTTCATTTTCCACGTTCAAATGTCTCTGACCGGTTCCATGCAGAGCCCGGGGGACTTGGAGGAAGCCGTAACTTGGCTTGCTTACTCTTCTTTCGCAGTTAACCCATTCTTCTATGGCCTTTTAAACAGACAAATCAGAGATGAGTTGGTGAAATTTCGACGTTGCTGCTTGAACCAGCCCTCAGAGGTTGGAGCGTCCAGCCAGGAGGCTTCATTTCAGGAAAACTTCCTTCAGTTCATTCAGAGAACCACCAGCACACCTGAAAGACGCTCCAGCTGCTCTAACTCCAGTCCCACATTGAACCAGGTGAACATTATTCCAGGACAGATTCCAGAGGAGCATGCATAGACTACATGTACACTGATTATAGAAATGTTTGTAGAATATTTATCCCATTATACAATAGTATAGAAATAGCCTTCGTTGTCCCAAAGTAACAACAGCATTTAGATATTTAGGTTCACACAAAGCAGCAAAAGGTGATGATAGGCTGTTTATGTCTTACATTACTTTGTTGTATTAAAAGTTTTTTATATTTATGCTTTTTACTAACTTGATTATTTTCCTTGTTGACTTCTTTATTTTAAAAAATAAAGATGGTTATATGGTAATGGCAAGATATTTGCAGTCCCAGTCAAAGTTCACATGTACTCATCATAGTCATAGATGTCTTTCTGTTTTTGGTTGTTTCCTACAGTTTTATTTTTCAGGGTAGAAATATAAAAACAGTTTCTGAGATTTATTTCAATAAGTTCTGTCTGCACAGAGGAAAATCACACGCTTATTTTTTCTATCAACAGGCTTGTGTAATTCTGATGGAAGAGATTTATTTTAAATTGGGGAGCACCTCTGTGCTGCCCAATTTGCTCATCTGCTACTTAAACCATCACCTTGACTTCTCCAAGCATTGTGGTCATTGTGGACAGATAGGGGACACCGAAGTCCCAGAATCCTCCATTTTATGACAACTACAGTTCTGGTTTGCTTTTAACTACAACAACCCCTTTCTTTGAACTTAGGGTAGTACATTGGATCAGCTTGTTGAAACTGGAGCACATTTGAGTCCTAACAAGACAAAGGCCCAAAACAAACATCAAAACATTGGACTGGATAAAGCAAACATTAATCAGCTGAAATGAACCCAAGCTCAATCTTGTTTAAATTGCGCTGGCTTTGTAAAATGTCTCTTTGCCAGGAAACCCATTAATCTAAATTAACCAAGAAGAGGGAACAAAAACTCAGCCAGAAATGTGCTGCAAGCTTGTTAATGGCAACAAAAAAAAGTGTATGACTTTGCAGTCACTAGCAAAGGAACTTTTAATTAAACACTCTATCTATTTATATATTTGTTCCTGTTCATCTTATTTTTACCCTGTACAAATTAGGAGAAATCCTCTGTTAAGTCCAACCTATATTTTCAATTCTGGTTTTGTAAAAATTTCAGAAATATTTTAAGCATTTCAGATTGTAAAAAAAAAATTAAAACAAAAAACTGTTCAAATGGTTAAAAGCACAAACTTGACAAGGCATTAATGACCAAGATGAATGTGTGTAAACTTTTGGCTAAAACTGTTCACTGCAATTTTCCCTTTTTGATATTTGATATACATTTCAAAACTGGTCTTATTTTGATTGAGATTATAGAAAAGCTTTAGTAAAGTTGTACATTTTTGGATTAACTGAAATAAAAAAAAACATTGTCTGATGAATAATTTAGTTTTAAAAATGCACGATTGTGTCCCATCTGATTTAACATTGCCACCATAACGTCGCTATTGAATTTCTTGTATCATCGGTAATATTTATACATAAGAAACAATATTCAAGTAGTAGATGGGGTTCCAAAAGTCTTGATTATTCTGCTTGTGGTATATTTTATAATTAATCTTTTTTGTGTTTAAGGAGATGAGCCCTCAGGATAGGTAGGGATAATACCTCAGACTTCCTACTTAAAACACATATTAGGTTTTGATGTCGCCTCTCTCTTTCCATATGAAATAAAGTGGACTCACATAGCAACAAATGTCCCCTTGGGTGCCTTTTCATCCAAGTCTGCTCAAATACAGACTGAGTCCGATAAAACTCATTTACATGTGAGCAAAGATAGCACGAGTCCCTGTGAAAATGGACCAACGTAACTTGGACATGGATATGGGAAGGAAGAGATAGGAAATCTGCAGTGAAAATCATTACTGGGCATTGATAATGCACCAAAGAGAGGTAACAAAGTGCTATTTTATGGCCTTTGCTATTTGTATTAGCCCTCGTTCAAGACAGTATAGGGTGGTTACAGCAAATATAAGCAAACATCATTCTGCAGTACGAGTGTTACTCAGGAATATGCAACCTTACATAACTGTAAGTGTGATTAAAACATTAGGTTCTCAACCAAACACATTTTGGTTGATTTTGGTTTGATTTTTTTTTTTAATTTAAAATAATGTCCACAGAGTAATAACTCTCTGTAGTGCAGAGCTCAAACATTAACAGCACTTAATGTGAACATTGAACAAACCTCAGCACAGCAAACATTCTCCGAAATGAAAGTATGTCTGAAGTGTCGTTTTTTTTCAAAGGAGTTTTGATGAACCGGTAAGATTTAACAAAGGCGTTCATGGGAAAAAAGCTTTTGAAGTTTGTGTGAATTCTTCTGTCTTCTCCACTCACAGGTTTACAGACTATTAGAATTTTTCAAATTAAATTAATGAGTGAAGATTTTATTCATAAAGTGCTTTTTATAGACATAGACAACAAACAACTCATCACTCTGCAACAATATAAAGACTTAATACTACTAAAGTTAATCCTAATGTAACAAAGCACCACACTTTCCTCCGTAGCCTCAGGAAAACAATTGGAAAGACTCAATTTTCTCTTTTTGTGTCATCAAGCGACAATGACAGTGACATTTTTCATGTCAACTGGTACGGTGTGATTTGAAACAAGACAACTAATACTGCATGGCAAATTTCTCAATAGGCAAGAAAAAAATCTAAAGAAAGAATGAATTAAATAACTATTTAGTGGGACAAAAGGAGACAATCTGAGCATCAACATTTTTGATGAGTAAAAATGTTGTCCGACATTTTGAACTCTGTACTCATATACAATAAACTACTTGACCATTTAACATGCTGTAAGATTAAAATAAAATATGAGTAACACATTATACAGTATTACTGCTGCTTTATTGTAATGAAGAATAACCAAATACAGTTCCTGAACTGCAGTGTTACCACACAGAAGTTCTTGCATACCATTCATTTTGATGCGCCTCTTTATGAAAATCTCGTTCCATATTTTTGTGCCTATTTAAATATTTCACACTTTGAACAGTTAGTTGGTTGTTGTCTGATATTTATGTGCCAGACTTGATAAATCTTTGAATAAAAATATTTTTTATTTTATTTTTTAAAAAAAGGAATTGCAAGCACTTTGTCACAAACTATTACTTCTTATCGCACTTAACATCTGCTACCTTCACTGCTGTTCTGAGGTTTAATTATGCCATACAATTAAACATTGTCCATGATGAAAATATAGACCGCTGATTAAATCACTACTCCCTTTCAACATGGTAAACAAGCTGCATATACTGACCAACAGGGGGCGCAATGTGGCAATGAATTGCTCTATCTTCTGTCTGAATCTGCCTAAACAATGAAGTATAAACACACAGATTTATGTTGTTCGCTAGTCTTGAACAACCTTCTTTTAAAGTTAAAATAGCATCCCAAAAAGACTGATGAGATGTCAGATGGCTTTTTCTTTAAAAAATTAATGTTGAGCTTTCTACTGAAGTTTGCCTTTAACAGGAAAAAAACAAAAACAACAAAAAAAAACATAATGTAGAAAGTAAAGATGACTCATGGATGACCATGTGTCATTCTGTTTCCAGAGCCTCTCTAATGGTATTTTGGTGAAGGTCATATTGTGAAAAAATACAAGGCCTTAAAACCTGGGAAGCAATTTGCTGATATACGTGTATGAAAAAAGTGAGTTAGGTTTTAAAAAAGGAAGTTGAAATTTGCTAACCTGTCACAAGACAACTCACCTTTTTCTCTGAAACAAATGCAGAAAAGATACAAATTGGTCTTCTGCGACGTATTGTTGAATAAGAAAAAAATTGGGGATTCAGCTCAGATGTGCAATTAGCAGAACAGCTTCTTCCAAACCCTGCTGCGTGTTGGCTGTGTGTATTTAGCGGGCAAAACTCTGACAAACATCATCACCGTTTGCTTGATTAAAGGTCTGTGAGGTCTGATTGTTTCCACTCATCATAATCTCTCCCACAATGTTCTTGTTTGATCCTGCTACCTCCGAGATGAACATTTCTTATGCAGGTATAAAGCAGACTGATTGTGTATCACACAAAGCCAATAAAAAGCATTGCTCAGAAATGGTCATAGCAATCATCAGTGTGCTATGTCCCACCTGGGTGTCAACCACGGGCCTGTCATCCGGCTGGCTGCACCCCTTCATGTTTCCAGTGACTCCAAGCAGGGCCACAGCTCAGCTGGACGATAATGGATGAGGACAGACTGAAATCGGGGGAACTGATGGAAGTAAAGGTGGATGAGGGTCTGGATTTCACCCACCATAATTCACAATCCCAGATTGAGGGCAGGGATCCCAACAGAGTCAACAGCAATCTAAAGGTATGTCCCCCCCCCCAGATTACTTCTGCTATATATATATTTATTTATTTAATTAAATATGTACGTTGGATCAATTGGCTTGCTCAGTGAGAACTCTTGATGACACATTGTATTGTTTTGCTTTAATGAACGCCTGAGGGCATTACAAAACAGCTGCATATTAAGTTGACATTAATTTACAAAGTGGTAAACATTATTTTCTAATTAGGCTATGCTGCAACAAACTGGCTTTACAGATTTCTTTAGATGTGTTCTAATAAAAGGGAGTGGATACAAATCTAAATTCAAGTTTGTTGTAAAAAATGGGACAATATATATTACAGAACCTTTACAGGAGATTAAAGCCAGGTGGCTAATTTTCATCTCTAGTTACGCTGGCAGCAGGTTTGCACAAAATAACACTACAAAATGAGAAAGACATAAAACAACCTCAAAAAAGAAATATCTTTGAAAATACTCAATTTTGACTTTCGTGGCTTGTTAAGAGTCAGCTTGTAAGATGTTTTGTTACACAATTTTAGATTTTAATATTGTAAAATTATGAAAGGGATCTATCTTTTTTGTCATCTTCACAATTATTGACTGCTTTGTGTTGATCTACCACATAATATCATCTGATTCAGACTAAAAACTGTTCGTATCCTTGAACTTGGTACATCAAGGAATTTTTTTGCTTCTGATTTTTTACAGCGATGGATTCATGTCATTCTGCTCATTTTCCTGCCTTAAATAACAACATTTAATGAAAATCCTTGGTTCTGCCCGTGCCTTAAGGTCATGTTTGAGGACGTGATTGCAGAGCCCCCTTCAGTGCGGAGCTTCGATAAAGTCTGGCTCTGGAGTCACGCCCTGTTCGAGGTGTCCAGACTGTGGGGATACCGCTTCATCTCTCTGGTGCTGGCGGTGCCGGTGTCACTGGCTGCAGGGCTGCTCTTTGCTGTTCTCAGCTGCCTCCACATCTGGTAGGACCTGAAGCTCAGACACGAGGACACAAATACAGAAAACAGAGCAGGATGAGCTGCTTGGCACACTTTTAATGAATAAAGGTCACTTTGTGAAGGTTGCAGCTGCATTCTTTTCAATATGTTGTTTCTCCCTCGAGGGAACTTTATTTGAGAATTAGCTTATGTTTCTCCTCCCCTTTATGTCCTTCTAGGCTGATCATGCCCGGCGTGCGGCTTCTTCTCATCAATATGCAGTGGATCCAGACTGTGTGGGCCAGCATACAGAACATTTTTATCAGTCCTTTCTGTACCAGTTTTGGAAAGTGTTGTGGTCAAATTGTTATCCGCCTGGCGAGTGCTGATAACAGATAGAGCTAGTTATTTAGTCAGTGTAAGCAACTGAGCAGAAGGTATAAAGGAAAGACAAGCAGTGAAGGATTGCTAACTGCTGACAGGGATCTTGTATCATTTGTTATTATTTTGTATTTTTATGCATCTCTCATGTTTTTTGGCATACTGACACATTCATCAACTTTTCCATTTTGTAATGACATTGACGTATGGACCCTCTAAGTCACTTCAGCAGCACCGCACAGGAGCAGCTGATTTGTGTATTTCACTGCCACACATACAAAATGAAAATCCACCGGAAGCACATTTTAATAAAAAATCATAATTTTCTAAATTGCTTGGACATAAACTGTGCTACGCGGAGACACTATAAAGAAAAATATTTTGGTTTAAACGTTTAACAGAATTGTGAATTAGATGAATAAAAGTATTTCTGACTTAAAACAAATGTATAAAGTTGTGTCTGATTGTGGATTATGTCAGGCAGATCTGAGGATTTGCAAACTGTAAGGTTGGAAAAGAGAGATCTGCACCACACCGATCTTACACCTGTCTCAGTCTGTGAAAACAGTTGTTCAATTTCATCACATGAAATAAAGCCATGTAAAAAAAAATAAATAATAGACGACTGGATTCCTCTGAAATTCACTGGCACACATTTAGACAAGCGAGTGTCTTCTCTGCTTTCCCTCACAAATACACAATCTGGAGTAATGATGATTAAATCACTTCATTAGAACATGGACAGCAGGTTAAAATACCTTTTTACAAGTTCATTTCTGGGTGATATTTCAAATTTTTGAAGGATGACATGTTGCTTACTTTAACATTTCAAACAAAGAAAGAAACAAACGCAAAACATAAAACTTAAGTGAAAACTAAAAGAGTGCGCCAAGTTATTTTTGTTTATTTTTTTATTGGTTGGTATATTAAATAACAATTATTTGTATTTATTTGTAACTAGAGAGTAATATTTTGTTGGCTTTTCCCTCTTCTGAAATTTTTACTATTATGTTTCAAAACATGACTTCACTAAATTAGATGAATCCTGACAGTTTCTCTGATTTGGGTTTTATTCTACCTTAGGCATTTAGAGAAATTGGACTCTTTGTCTTCAGGTTTTACTGGAAATCTAATAAATGCAAACAGAGCTGCTAAATGCAAACAAATAATAATAAATTCAAAAACATAATCGGAGGAAAATGTAATTTGAAGCTTTCGTGGAACATTTATAAAACTGACATTAATAACACATCCTCTCGATCTGCAGCAATCCCTTTGGAACATCTTCAGATTGTGACTCTGCTTTGCTTTGCTCTTGCTGGTAAAGACATCACTTTAAAGTCAGCAGATACTGCTCTAACATTTTAATGTATTCTTTTTTATCTGTGTATATAAATCAGCTCCAGCATGAGTGATGTTTCCTGATACATTGATGTCAGAACGATTGATGATCTGGGTTGTCCAGCCTAAACTTGGGCTTTTACTCACTGAAATTTCCCCAGATTCCTTAAGTTCAGTGATGATATTGTTTTCCATACACAGAGCAGAAATGCAGAACGCTGTGACTCTTCATCACGGACAAAAGCTCTAAAACAACCAAATGGTCCCAAATTGGTGACAAAAAAACTTTCCTCAGAGTAATGTACTCTTTTACTTTTTCTAAATTCTCCTCATTAGTTTTGTTGGGAGTACAACAAAATGGTCATAAAAATGTATCAAACTGACACAATGAAAAAAGGGAAATAGTCATGATTAAACTCAGTTAATTAAATGTTTTTAATTAAACTGCCACAGATTTTTTTTTGTTCTGGTACATTAAAATGTTTTGGAGTTAACATTTTGGAGTTCAATATTATGACTGATGTTCCTGTAGATATATATATTTATTTACAGAAAGAGAGAGTATATCCATATATAAATAACATTCCCTAACAGACTGTAGTTCCAAGAAGTGTTCAGGATATAGAAGATGACAGTAAATGTACATAAAAGTTTTCTTTTAAAGTTGCCCTTGTGCTTTTGATCCAACAGAACTGCACAGGCTGTCAGGCCTGTGTGACTCATTTCTAAAAAATGGTGTCCATTGAATGACTTGTTTCAAGTTAACACATAAGTTATTAGTATTGGGTGTGCTTGCATGGATGGCATGCAAGCACACCCAACATTTAAATGTAGCCCCAACTTCATGTTGTCCATAAGTTTAGTGGCATCCCTTCCACCAATCACAGGTCTGAGAGCCCTGCCTGTCGACATCTAATGAAAGATAAGAGCCAGTTCAGTCTCATTTAACCATATTGATACCCATGAACATAGAGACATGCCACTACATCTCTCTGCACAGCTATTTCTGTCTGCCTGCCTCCATTCCTAACCAGCTCCCTCTCTCTCCACGGCCACGCCAAGAATAGACGCCTAATTGGCCCGGCACCCAATCACATGAACTCTGATCTCATCCCCCCACTGCCTCCTCAGCTCCCAGGCAACTGGGAAGAGGAATGGCCCAGCACACTATGGAGTCACGCTTCCTGTACTTCTCTCACACCAACTGATTGAGACAGAGAGCCGTAGCGCAGCTGGGAGTTTTTTTCTGCACCTTTCATAGGGAGTATCTCTGCGTCACCTTCCCTTCTGCAATCTTTATTTGGCAGCTCCTCTGCTTGGGTTTGTTGATGTTGCTCGCTGATATGGAATCCAAAGACTGAAAGCAACAACTGCAAAGCCTAATTTAGGCTGTCTGGGTTTTATTTAGGAGGAAGATTAGATTTTATTGTCAATCCCTGGTTAAAATCTGAGCTTTTAGATGAAGTTGAGGCCCATCTCATGTTATATGGATCAAGGTAATGTTGTCAAATGTTTCAATTTTGTTCTCCCAGAGTTTCTTTAGTGAAGAATTTATTTGAATTTTGTTGTACTGTCCCTTGGAAGTATTAATAGGCCTCAAATGTTGTTACATAACTTTCTTGCAATAATCACACAGCTTAGTGTGATTATGGGCTTTTGGCTTATTTTTAAAAGTGTGATATGCATAATGTAGTTATTTGGTCCCATTAAATATGTAGAAGCCCTTAAACTAGTAAAGAGTAGTAATCAGAGAACCTTGTTTGCCTCATGTTATTTAAGACAAAAACATTTAGAAGAAGAAACAGCTAAAAAAAAAAGCTAAGACTGACCCTGAGCACACCATACTGACTTTGAAACAAGGTGGAGGCCGAATCATGCTGCGGAGATGCTTTTTTTCCTGCAGTGACAAATAAGTTAATCAAAACTGATGGAGAGATAAGTGGGAATAAATATAGCAACATCCTGGAAGAACACCAGCCGTTTCTTGTTTTAGATTGGTCCAAAACGAAGATCAATATCAAGACCAAACCCTAAGTGAGAATCTGTGGTCGGACTTGAAGATTCACGTCCAGAGACACTCTCCATCCAGTCTGGCTGGACTTTGGCTGTTTTGCAGAGAGTAGTAGGCGCAAATCAGTGTTTAGATGTACAAAGCTAAAACATACCACAAACCATCTGCATCTGTAACTGGACAGAGAAACTATTCTACAAATATTTAGTCATGGAAGCTGAATGTGAGGTTCATGCTTATAAAACAACAAATGTGGACATGAGGGCATGTCTGATATAAAGCTTATTAATTAGTGGTTCAAAGCTAACTGAAGCCATGTGGGTGTGTTTGTGCTTTTTGCCTGTAGTGGAAGTTAGTACCACTGTGCAAACCCATCCCAGTTAACCCGACAACTCCGTGTGAAATATGACACAACTCTGATTCTTCTTTAAGGCATTCCTTTTCCCACAGTGGTCATAACATGGTGTTTATGTGCGTGTATAGTTGTAGGAGTGTGTGTGTGTGTGTGTGTGTGTGTGTGTGTGTGTGTGTGTGTGTGTGTGTGTGTGTGTGTGTGTGTGTGTGTGTGTGTGTGTGTGTGTGGATGGAGGGTGGGGGCTAAGGCCACCATTTCTACCAGGGCACATGCAGCAGCTGTCCTGTGGCATGTCAGCGGGGAGCGTCAGAGACTTGCTACAGAAAAGGTTCAGAACTGAGCTGAGAACTGCTGTGTGCAGTTTCCAAAAAGGTTCTTATCCCTCCTGTCTTTGACTAAACCTGGGACCTGCGCAGCCTCAACCATGGCGGATCAGTACCAATACAACACCAATGAGGAGAAGATTGTGAAGGACAGCCACACCAAGGAGATCGATCTAATTAACAGAGACCCCAAGCAAATCAATGAGGACGTGGTGAAGGTTTGTGCAGAAATGAGAGAAAAAAAACTGCCTTGACAAAGGTTACAGGGATCAAACTCACAGTCTCTAATTGCATGTTTGCAAATTTAGATAAAATTGCAAATATTAGAGTAGAAAAAATGCATTGTGCTGGCAGAGAAATCCTGAAATAGACCAGGAGCTATTCCTGTTGCTTGAGCAGAGCGAAAATTTATTTTGGGGATGGGCTTGAAAGAGTTGGAAACCGGTACACACTGTTGCTCTCATTTTCTGTCACTGTTTAGTTTTTTATTTGTTGCTATGGAAATATCACAAAATATATTTTTGCTGTTATTATTAAATAAGTAAGCATAATTATATTTTGTTTAAAAGAGTTGGGTTGGTGTAAATGAGGTGGTTAGTGTTTAGTGACTAAATGACTCACTGTAGAAACCGGTTTGTGCCAGATTTTAGAAAGCTGCAACCTTGAAGATAGGACTCAACTTATGAGATACTGATCTTATGTTGTAGGTCAAATTGACAATTTGAAATGTACAAAAACTGCAAAAATATTCCTACACAATGGCATTAAAAATTACTGCATGGTGCAAATATGTCTAAATAGAGCATGTAGATGATTAGAAATATTTCTGCTGTGCAAAGTTAACATATATATATCTATAGACATTAAAGTTTCAAATGATCCAAACTTTAGAGAAACTAGATGATAAGAGTAGAGTCGCTTTTTTCATCCAGTGCTTTATTCATCCAGAGTTAGATCCCTATGTGGTGTTTCCTTTGGAAATCGCCTTATAACTTCCTGCACCTTTCCCATGGAATAATTTAAAGAGGGAGATAAAGCTTCAGATGTGCCATGTGTGTCTGCCTGCAAAAGTTTGATTACTGATGATAGCTGACAGCAGTTCGATGCCGAGCCTCAGCTGAGAATGTAATGGCCTACTTTTTTCAGGAGGACCAGGTGGCTCGTAATACAATCCAACAACAGATTGGAACATTGTGAAGCCACTCTCTTATGAATTTTGCATGAGGCTAGATTTGATTTAGCAAAAATGAGGGGAATAAAGCTGTTTGACTGATCTGGGTGCACCATTAAAAGCCAATCCACCACTTTGTCTGTACATGAAGTGTGCACACTATTCGCTTCTCTTAGTGTGAGTGCTGCCTCTGTGGTTTTCA